CGAGTTGCCCACCATGAGGAGTTCAGCAAATATTTGAGCCTTGGGGCGAGGGGGGCGCAAGCGCGACGCGCGCCCGAGGTGACCCTTCGACCCAGCAAGTGCCAGGACAAACGGCACCCCCTCCTCTTCCCTTTCCTCCATTTATCCCCCCTATCCACCCCATTCCCCCCTCCCCCCTTCCCAGAGATCAGTTTTTTTTTTTTTTTTTTTTTTGTTGTTTTTTTCTTTTCTTTTTTTTTTTCTTCTTCTTCTTCTTCAACGCGGGGTCCCCAGAAGCCTCGACCCATTTCCGGTGTTTCATCCCGAGTCGCTTTTTGGCGACCTTGGGTCCTGGCGAGGGCCTCCGGAGGCCGACAACGGCGAAAAACTTCCATGCTGTTTTTTTTCAATGTGTTGGATATCTGGGTCCATCCCCTCGCTCCTCCACCTCCCCCCCCTCGACAAGCACACACTATGAATACTACTCTCCTCTCTCCAGTGGTTGCGTCTGTGAAATATTCGGCCCCCCGCCGCGTAAGGTTTTTTTGCACTGGATTCCCGGGAATCGTGTTTTCGCTAAGGTTTTTGTTCGAAATGGTGCTCTCGCTGAGGCGCTGGCTTCATGTTCGAGCTACCGCTCATTCCGAATCGTGCTCCCTCTGCAGCGCTGGCTTCGTTTCCGCGCTTCCGCGCGTCCCGAATCGTGCTCGCGCTGCAGCGCTGGTGTCAGCATGTCCAGCGCCATGCCACGGCATGGTTTTCGGTCATTGCAAATTGGCCCCCAAATCTTGAAAATACCCCACCGAAAAACCATCGGAAGTGATTCCACATTCGGTGTCGATTCGTTGATTGTTTGGGCCGCAGAAACCCTTCCCACTTCGGGGCGTCGCCACGCCGTGTTATGTCAGGCTACGCGTCCTCATTTCTGCGTTTTCAAGTTTTTTTGTTTATTTGTGTGGTGAGATGCTGCTTTCGCTGAGGCGCTGGCTTCATTTTCGGGCTACCGCTCATTCCGAATCGTGGTCCCGCTGCAGCGCTGGCTTCGTTTCCGCGCTTCCGCTCGTCTCGAATCGTGCTCCCAATGCAGCGCTAGCGTCAGTATTTCCAGTGCCATGCCACGGCATGGTTTTCGGTCCTTCCAAATAAGCCCCGAAATCTAGAAAGTGGCCTCCCGAAAAAACAATCGGAAGTGATCGCGCATTCGGTGTCGATTCGTTCATTCTTTGGGCCGCGGAAGCCCCCCCCCCAACTTTGGGGCGTCGCCACTTCATGCCATGTCCTGCCACGCGTTGATATTCAACACTATGCCATGCCATGTAGTGCTATTCTATTTTGCGACCTCCGATTGTACGAAACGAGCGGATATCTACGCCATGGGAAGGGATGGGAGGGAGGGGTAGGACGTCAGATATGACGCGACCGCACTTAGCTTGTCCCTCCCCCTGCCCCCCCCTACCCTTAAGTCGGGCCTGTCCCTCTACAGGAGGAAGATTCAAACATAGTAAAACATACGCTGTGGACGAGTTTTTGACCACTTAGGGAGCATTATTATCATGTATATATATATATATATATATATATATATATATATATATGATAATATATATATATAATAAAAAAAATATGTAAAAAAACATGTTTCGCCCAAAACCCCTGGGAGGACAGGCCCGACCTCACCCTGCCCCTCCTGCTTGCCGGGCCGATGCCCGATGACCCGTGCTACTGGCGCGTGGAGGACGGCGGCGCTGGGCGCCCCGGGGGCCGCTGCGGGCACCGATGGGGGCTCCGCTCGGCCGCCCCGACGCCGACCCTCTCGCCGGGGGCGCGCGTTCCAGCGAGCTCGTTGAAGCTCGCCGGCACCTCGTGCTCGCCGCTCGTCCTCGCCGGCGCGCGCCCGAGGCCCTCGAGGGGCCGAGCGTGGCCCCCTCGCCTCTGGCCTTCCCGGGTCGCCTGGCGTGAGGAGGAGGAGGAGGAGGAGGAGGAGGAGGAGGAGGAGGAGGAGGAGGAGGAGGAGGAGGAGGAGGAGGAGAGGGAGGAGGGAGGAGAAAGAAGGAGGACCAGAGTAAAACCAAGGACTATTAGCGATTTTGGAATACTCCCTCCCTCGAAGCTCCCTCTTCGTAGGCCCCCACAAATGTTCATTCCCATTTCAGTCGGGCATGTCCCTGTACAGGAGGGCTATTCGAAAATAGTTTAACATTATCAGGGGGAAGAGGAACACACAGACACAATTCATCGTCGATTCTCCAGAAAATATTGGAGAATATGGGAAGCTGTGGGGAAGACAAAAATCCAGAACATACGGGAAGCTATGGGAAATCCTGTTTTGTGTGTGTGTGTGTGTGTGTGTTTCTTTGTGTGTCTTTGGGCCCCTTGAAAATAGTGCGGGGACGATGTTTCGACTGTTCTTGTTGGCTACTTTTCAGTTGTCTGTTCTCGGACACTCTTGATGGCTTCCTCCAGAACCCGCCTGCAGCAGGACACGCCCGACCCGAGCCTGGCGCCTCGCGCTCCCCTGCTCTCGTGCCGCGTTTGGCTCCCTCGTGCCCCGCCGTCGCTCGCGCGCCGCCCGTCCGCGTGCGGCAGCCGCCGACGGAAGAGCTCGCCAGAGCTCGGGCTCGCCAGCGCTTTTCGACGGGCCCGTCATTCGTTTTGACTCAAGCGGGGCATGCCCCTCTACAGGAGGAGCCTCAAAAAAGAGCTCAAAAATCTGACGGGACGATTCTTCGACTATGTTTGGCTTTTTTATTTTTGTTTGGTGATTATTGGCATTTCTTTCAAAGACTGCCTGTAGGAGGACATGGCCGACCTAAATTTTGACGGTGCTTGCAGCGGGAGGTCGCGTCGAAGTTCAGAAGACTGGGGCCCGTCGTTTGCTTGGTGGCCTCGCCAGGCCAACCTCTGAGTCTGCCGAACCCAACTCTTGCGTCTCCCCGATTTCGGCAGGCTCCTCTCGAGGTGAAGGCGAGGAGCGGGAAGGAGGAGCGGGGGAGAGGAGCGGGGAAGAGGGAGGAGTAGCGGGGAAAAGGAGGAGCCGGGAGGGGGAGCAGCCGGGAGGCGGATGGGGAGGAGAGAGCGAGGAGGAGGAGGAGGAGCCCAATGGGGGGCGGGGGGGGGCGCCTCCTGGGGACCAGGGCCTCTTGGAACATGGTTTCGGGGGCGCTCCTGGAACCTCTCGGGGTCCTGCTGGGGGACCCCGCGGGAGCTCTTCGGACTCGGTCGGGAGGGCCCCGCGTCGTCGGTGGTCGGCGCGAGCCCGCCGAGCGCGCGCCGGCGCCGGGGCGCCGCGCGCCCTGCCGCGGGCGCGCGCCGCTGCCGCCTGCCTCGCGCCCCTCGCGGGGGCGGCCCCGCTCTGCTGGGCGCGCTGGGGGCGGCTTGCCGCCCCTGCGCCCGCGGCGCCCGCGGCGCCCGCGGGGCTGCCGGCGTCCGGCGGCGCGGGGGCGGCGTGCGTGAACCCAGTGGTGTCCTCTCGGGGAGGCGTAGGGCTTCGAGGCAGGAGAATAGTGATGAGAGAAAGAAGAAGAGCAAGAGTAGCAAGAAGTCAAAGAAGGAGGAACGCTCTGAACATACACTTTTGGCGCTCCGCGCGGACTTCTTGGATCCGCGCTGCGCACCCCCTGCGGCGCCTCCGGCGCCGCCCCTGGCGCGCTCCGCGCGCCAGGGAGGGGGGTCCAGCGCCGATCCAAGAAATCCGCGCGGAGCGCCAAACGTTGATGTTTATGGCGTTTTTTTCTTCTATGACTCGAGTTCGCCGGAGCTCGGGTTTGCCGACGCTCTTCGACGAGCCCGCCCTGGAGTGTGACGGTCCAGTTGGCGATTCGAAGGTGCTTTCAAAATCGTCTCGAGCTGAGGGGTAGCTGCGCAGTGGCAACGGACGTGTGGCTCGGGATGACAAGCAGGGCCCCAAGGGGCTGTGACGGCCCCAGAGGCCTCCAAGATCGTGACGGTCCAGCTTCCGTGAGATGCTTGCAGCTGGAGCCACCTGTCGGCGGCGCGCCTCGGGGGAAACGAGAAGGAGCAGGCCCTCGCAGAAGGCGCTTGGGCTTCCCAGAAGCCCTCGCGCCTCCTGAGAAGTTCTGTGTGTCTTCGGGGAAGGCTTGGGCAGATGCTCAGAGGGCCGGGAGCCTCTGGGGCCTTCGGAGCAGGCCCGCCCTCTCGCGCGGCTCCCCGGGCGCGCCGCCGAGTCTGGCTCTCGTCGTTGTGCTGGCGGCCCCGTCGGGTCAACCCGAGTCTGGAGGGTCTCTCGGAAGGGCTTAGGCGACAAGTCCTCCTCCTCCTCCTCCTCCTCCTCCTCCTCCTCCTCCTCCTCCTCCTCCTCCTCCTCCTCCTCCTCCTCCCCCTGCTCTTTCATCTCCGCTTCCTCCTCCTCGTCCTCCTCCTCCTCCTCCCCTCCTCCTCCTCCTCCTCCTCCTCCTCCTCCTCCTCCTCCTCTCCTCCCCCTTCTCCTCCCCCTCCTCCTTCTCCTCCTCGTCCTCCTCCTCCTCCTCCTCCCTCCTCCTCCTCCTCCTCTCCTCCTCCTCCCCCTGCTCTTTCGTCTCTCCTCCTCCTCCTCCTCCTCCTCCTCCTCCTCCTCCTCCCCCTCCTCCTCCCCCTCCTCCTTCTCCTCCTCGTCCTCCTCCTCCTCCTCCCTCCTCCTCCTCCTTCTCCTCCTCCTCCTCCTCCTCCTCCTCCTCCTCCTCCTCTCCTCCTCCCCCTCCTCCTTGTCCTCCTCCTCCCCCTCCTTCTTCCCCTCCTCCCCCTCCTCCTCCTCCTCCTCCTCCTCCTCCTCCTCCTCCTCCTCCTCCTCCTCCTCCTCCTCCTCCTCCTCCTTCCTCCTCCTCCCCCTCCATCTCCTCCCCCTCCTCTCCTCCTCTCCTCCTCCTCCTCCCCTCCCCCCCTCCTCCCCTCCTCCTCCTCCTCCTCCTCCTCACTCCTCCTCCTCCTCCTCCTCCTCCTCCTCCTCCTCCTCCTCCTCCTCCTCCCTCCTCCTCCTCGGGTCGCCTACGGCCCCGGGGGAAACCGTTCGCCCGGGGCCCTTCGAGCCCGCGTCTTACGCCTCCCCGATCCTCGGGCAGCTTCTGCCTGGAGGGCGGCTGCGACTCGGACCGCGGACTGGAGGGCTGGGCCGTGGTACAGGTCGGGGGCCAGGGGGGGCGAGGGCGAGGAGCGGTGAGAAAGCAACGGCAGAAACTCGAAGAGCAACGACACAAGCTCGAATCTATAAGCTCGAAGACTGCACATCATACGTCAACTCGAGGAACGAAGAGCTTTTGAACCTCCGACAGTTGATGTTGGTGCTTATGTTGCTCCTCTGTGAACATACGATCGGGAACTTGTGGATAGCGCGTCTCTGCTGGTTCGGTCCCACTGCGCCGCGGTGCGCTTCACCGTCCCGAGGCGTCAGCGTCTCGAGCTTTCCTGAGCTCCCGCCACGCGGAGGGGAGCGACGCGCCATCCACTTGCAAGGCACACCGTGTTGCCGCGGCTGCCACCGCGACACGCTAAGCAAAAGTTCCCGTGCGTACATTTTCGGAGGTCCGCGCTGATTTCCTGGATCGGCGCTGGGACCCCCCTCCCTGGCGCGCGGAACGCGCCAGGGGCGGTGCCGGAGGCACCGCTAGGGGGCTCCAGCGCCGATCCGAGGAATCTGCGCGGACGTCACGCACGACAAGAACTCGAGTCGCGATTTCCCAGTGGGGGTGTGGCTTCACAGAAGCTTTACCACCGTCAACCTTCAAAGCACATGTCTGGATCCCTTGGGGCAGGAGTTTTGGACGTGGTGCACATCTCGATCAAAGAAGCAGCCCCCGCCAACAGATGGGGTGGATGATGGACGTGAGTGGGGGACCTGGTACATACGAGGGTAGCACCATGGCATGGGCCGATGAAGAAGGGATGGTGGTGGCGATGGTGCACTGTTGTGCGCGCTTCCCCCCCACCTCCCAGAGGTGACCGACATGCAGCGGCACGCGGACCGGTGGCTCTATCCGCACGCCGCAATCTCCAGCCGGTGCTGGCCCGGGCAGCTCGACTCCTCCCATCCGCGCATGCGGGAGCAGTGCGGACTGGACCTGGATTCCCCCTGGGAGCACTTCGCCCGGGAGCCAGACCCCTACTTCGGTAGCAAGTCTTGGGGGCCTTGCATGTCTTCGTAGGTGCGTCTCTGGAGTGCAGTGGCCTGCGCCAGCGTTTCTGGTAGTCGATGAGAACGCGTCGATTTAGCGTCGACATAGCGTCTGGTAGTGTCGGTTAGCGTCGAGTCGCCAGAGCCAACGAGATCATGTGGGAGGCTCCCTGAGTTGCCTACCGAACCGTACTCGGAGCCCGGGGGCGCGGGCGCGTGCAGCCTGATGCAGATCACCCGCAGCGGCTTCCAGCACTCGCTGGACCTGGGCAGGTCAGGAGGGGAAAGAACGCACAGACACAATTCACCGTCGACTCCCCAGACAAGATGATGGGAAGTGGGGGGGAAGACGAAAACCCAGAAAAAATGTGGGGGAATAGTGGTGATCCTGGGATTTGTGTGTATTTATCGCGAAGGCCTAAGGCCAGTGCCGCCGACCCTGAATGACGACGACGACGACGAGCGCTGTCGGGGGCCTCTTGGGGGTTGTCTGGGGGCCTCTGGGGAATCTCTTGGGAGCCGCTTGGAAGCCTCGTGGGGGCCTCTTGGGGTCTCTGGGGGCCTCTTGGGGGGCTCCTTGGAGCTTCCTGGGGGGCCTCTTAGGGACCTGGGATTCGTGTGCACCTCTTCGTGTGCCCCTGGGCCCCTCTGGCAGGATCCTGGCGGCCCAGTACGGCCCCGGCGGCGCGCGCCCCCTCCCCGGCCTGGCGGGCTGCCCGGCGGGCTCCGTGTTCCTCGCCGCGGACGCGGTGGAGAAGCGCGGTGGCGCGCCGAGGGGGGCGGCAGCGAGAGGGAGGAGGGGCCCTCTCAGGTGGAGGGTTTCTCCGAAGGGCTTAGGCGACCCGTCCTCCTCCTCCTCCTCCTCCTCCTCCTCCTCCTCCTCCTCCTCCTCCTCCTCCTCCTCCTCCTCCTCCTCCTCCTCCTCCTCCTCCTCCTCCTCCTCCTCTTCCATCTCCTCCTCACCCTTCCCCTCCTCCTCCTCCTCCTCCTCCTCCTCCTCATCCTCCTCCTCCTCCTCCTCGGGTCGCCTACGGCCCCGGGGGAAACCGTGCAGGAGGAGGGGCCCCCTCAGGATCGGGCGAGGCGCGAGCAGTTGCTCTGCGAGTCGTGGAGCGCGCTCGCCCATAGTTGTGAGAAGGGCGCGACGTCGGAGGCCCGGATCGAATCTCGAAGAGCTCCCGCGGCGGTTCCAGGCGATTCGCGAGCAGCTACTCTGCGAGTCGTGGAGCGCGCCTGCTTGTAGCTGTGAGAAAGGACGACGTCGGAGACCTGGGAGGTGATCGCAGACCAGGATCAAAGGGGGCGTGGATGAGCGACGGGTCCCGTTTCCAGGGGAAATCGCGCATTTCCGCCGCCGAACCAGGCGGCACCGGCCGTATTTTGGGGAGGGCACCTCCCCCGGTCCATGGATCTGGCGACCGCGCGCCAAATCCATGGATCGCTAATCCATGCTTGCGCGCCCCCGACAGAAGGCGGCGGGGCTTCTCGGATGCCCTCGCGCCTGCTGAGAAGTTTTTCCTGTGTCCTCAGGGAAGACTCAGAGAGCGTCGCAGACGGCCCGAGGCATCCTGAGTCTGCGCTGAGAAGGCCCGCCCCCTCTCGCTTTCCCCCTTGGGCGCACCGCCGAGAGAACCAGAGGACGATCGAGGGCGTGTACGAGGGGCTCTGCGGCAGAAGGCCGAGTGCCGCCGAGTTCCCCGCCTCGGAGGTGCTGGTCAGCGGCGAGGTGTCGGAGGGCGTCCCCTTCTTAGGGGAACGAAGAATGACATAATCATAAACCCTCGGAGGTCCGCGCGGATTTCTCGGATCCGCGCTATGACCCCCCTGGCGGCGCCTCCGGCGCCACCCCTGGCGGGTTCCAGCGCCGATCCAAGAAATCCGCGTGGACCTCCGAGTTTTACGTTCATGGTATTGTTCGTTCCCTTACTTCTGGCTGAGGCCAGAGGGGGGTCTCTGCTCGGGGCCCGAGCTGGACGCCCTGCAGGGCGCCGCGGACGCCGCGCTGGCCTCCAGCCAGCTGTACAACCTTCGGCTGCGGCAGCTGGCGGCCGAGGCGGCGCGGCTGAGCGGCACCGACATGCCCGTGCACTCGGGCTACACCGGCGTTCTCAGCGGCGTGATCGACTGCGCTGTGTGCCACGCCTGCCTGGGCCTGAACGACACCCCGGCGCCGCTGGTGAACGCCTCGGGCGCGCTGGACGAGGCCGGCCTGTTCGGGAGCATGGACGCCGCGGAGACGGCAGCCGTGCTGTGGCCGCTGTCCTACCACCGCTCCCTGGGCGAGCAGGCGCTGCGCCGGTACGCGCGGCTCCAGTTCGGCCCCTACTTCGCGGTGCTCCTGGACCGCATGCAGGCGGCGGTGGAGGCGGCGGGCGAGCCTGGCGGGCTGCCCGTGCTGTACGTGCAGGTGGGGTTCGGTAGCAAGTCTTGTTCTCCTGGCGAGCCCTCGTCGTCGATCGGCGTCGATCGGCGTCGACCAGCGCCGACCTAGCGCGCCGATTCAGCGCCGACTCGGGTCGACCCGGAGCAAGCAAGCAAGACGCCGTGTGTCCGAAAGGCACGTGAGCAATTTTTTTATTCAGCCACATCCGCAGCCTCGAGGTGAGGCAAGGCGGGCCGAAAACGAGGAGCGAGAGGGAAAGGAAGAGCCAGCAATTTTGGCATGGGAGGCTACCACGAGCTGCCACCGATGGAAGAAGAGAGGCCGGCGTAAACAGAAGTTCTTGGAGCTCCGCGCAGATTCCTTCGGTCTTCGCGGGACACCCCTCCCTGGCGCGCGGAGCGCGCCAGGGGCGGCGCCGGAGGCGCCGCCAGGGGGCGCCAGCGCAGATCCATGACATCGTGCGGAGCTCATGAGCTTTTGCTCGTGCCGTTCTCGCTTCCTCTAACCGAAGGTGATGAGCGACACCAATGTGCTGCCGCAGCCTTAAGTCGGGCCTGTCCCTCTACAGGGGGAATATTCAAAAATGGTCAAACAAAAATAGTATGGGGACTATTTTTTGAGTGAGTATTTTCTGACCATTCTGGAGCATTTTTTGAGTATTTGTCATTTTTCGTCGAAAATCCCCCTGTAGGGGGACACACCCGACTTAACCGCAGCTGGTCCTCCTGGGGCTGGACCGCGATGCGGCCGTCCGGCCGCCCTGGCTGGCGACCCTCGTCACCGAGCTGTGGAGGCACCAGAGCGGCGCCTTCGGCGTCCGCGTGCTCTACAACGGGGCGGTGCGGCGCCCCTGCGCCGGCCAGGAGTCGATCACTAGCCACCTGGCTTAAGTCGGGCCTGTCCCTCTACAGGGGGAATATTCAAAAGTAGTTCAAAAATAGTCTGGGGACTATTTTTTGACCATTTTTGAACATTTTTAGGGCATTTTTTGGGTATTTTGAATTTATCGTCCAAAATCGGCCTGTAGGGGGACAGGCCCGACTCAACACTACCCACCAGGCCACCCCAACCCAACCCGGAGGCCCCAAGTTGCCCTCCGTTTCCAGTGTGGGGGGGGCATCCCGGAACATTGAAGAAACAGAGATGGATCCCGTGCATTTCTCGAAGGTCCGCGCGGACTTCTCGAGTCGGCGTTGGGCCCCTCTGGCGGCGCCTCCGGCGCCGCGGGGTCCAGCGCCCACCCAAGAAGTCCGCGCGGACCTCCGAAAGGTTGTGCTTGTGTTGCTTTCCTCGCAGGATGGCCCGATCTGCCCCTGGGCCGAGTTCCGGGAGAAACTCCTGGAGCTGGTGCCCGACAGGAGCTCCTGCCCGCGCTTCTTCGACCACTTCCGCTTCAGGTCGAGCTTCGTGGCCCCGAGCCGTCCGTCCGCGTGACCGCTTACGCTTCCTCTCCCTCACCCTCCGTTCCCAGTCCCCGTGCCCCTCCCCCTCCTTCCCGTCCCCCTCCAGTCGGGCGAAGAGAACTATGCACATGCGCCGATCCTGACAACGTCCATCCTTGACCCAGGATCGGTGCATATCCCTTCCTAGCCAAGGTAAGAGGGCGTATGCACCGATCCTGGGCTCAGGATGGGCCTGGCCAGAGTCGGTGTATGTGCATAGTTCTCTTTCCTCTACTCCAGGGCTACTTTCGACTCCTCCGATTCGACCCGATTCGATTTCGATCGATTCCGAGTTCGATCCGATTCGACCTCGGATTCTGTGGATTTCGGTTTCTCGACGGAGGGAGGCCTTGCCAGCCTGCCGACTTCTGCCGATTCGACTTCTCCCGACTTGGCTGCATGTTTCCGCCGATCCGATTCATTTCGATCGCGGGTCCGTCTTCTCGATTCGACTCTGGGCTCTCCTGCGCTCTCCCTCCCCCTCCCCTCCCTCCCCCAGGTGTCCCCCCCCGCATCGTGGACTAATCCCAACCAGCTGGGAGCGCTTCCAACCCACTGGTATTTGTTTCAACCAGCACCAAACAGCGACCTGGTATCGATTCCAACCAGCCACGTAACCCCACCATACTATTGTGATTGTGAGGCGATGCTGTATATCACAAGCCAGATGGTCGGTTAGGTACGCACATTTGTTCGAGAAACTAACGCGTCTGCCCAGGTTGGACTTGATACCAAAACTGTGTGCGATTAAGCGGAACAAATGTGTATGTGGATGGCGGTGTTATGCGTGGTTTTATGAAGGAACCAGCAACATCCCCGGACAACCTGGACAACCCTCAATGATGGAAACAATAAATGTCTCTGCATGTAGTTTTTGCCGACGCTCGAGCGAGAGCACCGTCCGTACTCAGGGATGTGGCCAGCGCCTGGACGACTGCACAGTTCCCAACCCATGATGTGGCCAACGGTCACACGTCAGCACCACTTGCAACCTTTTCACCTCACTCCCTCAGAATCCTCTGCCTGCTCATCCTTGGGTCAGGGCGTGAGGAGGAGGATGCCGAGGAATGAGGAGGAACCTGTGGAATGAGGAGGCTGAGGAATGAATGAAAGGACTGAGGACTGAGGAAAATATTGGGGGATGATGCTGCTGCTGATGATGACGATGATGATGATGCTGCTGATGATGATGATGATGCTGATTCTGATGACGATGCTGCTGCTGCTGATGCTGATGCTGATGCTGATCGTGGTGCTCCTGCTGCTGCTGATGATGATAATGCTGATCATGATTCTGATGATGATGATGATGATGATGATGATGATGGTGGTGATGATGATGATGGTGGTGATGATTATGCTGCTTATGCTGATGCTGATGCTGATGCTGATGGTGACGTTGCTGCTGCTGATGATGATGATGAGGATGATGATGATGCTGATGATGCTGATTCTGATGATGATGATGCTGATGATGATAATGATGCTGATGATGATGCTGCTGATGATGATGATGTTGATGATTCTGATGCTGCTGATGATGATGCTGCTGATGATGCTGATGATGATGATGCTGATGATGATGATGATGCTGATGATGATGATGATGATGATGATGCTGATGATGATGATGCTGAGGATGATGCTGATGCTGATGATGATGATGCTGATGCTGATGCTGATGATGATGCTGATGATGATGATGATGCTGATGATGCTGATGATGATGCTGATGATGATGATGATGATGATGATGATGATGATGATGATGATGATGATGATGATGATGATGATGATGATGATGATGATGATGATGATGATGATGATAATGCTGCTGATGATGATGATGCTGATGATGCGGCTGCTGCTTATGCTGAGGAGGAGAAGGAGGAGGAGGAGGAGGAGGAGCAGCAGGAGGAGGAGGAGGAGGAGGAGGAGGAGGAGGAGGAGGAGGAGGAGGAGGAGGAGGGGGATGAGGAGGGGGAGGAGGAGAAGGAGGAGGAGGAGGAGGTGGAGGAGGAGGCTGTGGAATGCGGAGGAGCCTGAGGAATCAGGGGGACGCGGCTGAGGAACGAGGAGGAAGCTGAGAAATGAGGAGGCTGAGAAAATGAGAAACTGAGGGACGAGGAAGAGGCTGTGGAATGAGGAGTCCGAGCAGGAAGCCCTGTCTGACAAACCCTCGATTCGGCAGTGCGGCGCAAGCTGATGAATCACGCCTCCAAGAACCAAAAAGGCCCCAAGAGCCCCCCGAGAGGCCTCCGAGAGGCCCCCAAGAGGTTCCCAGGAGCCCCCACGACGATTGGACTGAGTGTGTGGTCTGGACGCGCACCCCGCGACGCGAGAGGAAGCTCGCACACGGCATCTCTGAGCCCAGCGATGCGCGATGTGCGCTTGCCAGACGCCTGCAAGACGCCTCGCAGAGGCGTTTGTGAGACGCCTGTTAGACGCCTCGCAGAGGCGCCTGCAATACGCATCGCAGGCGCCTCGCAGAGGCGCCTGTGAGACGCCTCGCAGAGGCGCCTGTAAGACGCCTCTAGGACGCCTCGTGGAGGCGCCTGTGACACGCCTCGCAGGCGCCTCGCAGAGGCGCCTGTCAGACGCGTCGCGGGGGCGCCAGCAATTCGCCTGTAAGGCGCCTGTCAGACGCCTCGCAGAGCCGCTTGTAAGGCGCCTGTAGGACGTCGCGAAGAAGCGCCTGTAAGACGCCTCGCAGAGGCGCCGGTGGGACGCCTCTCCGACACCTCGCAGAGACGCCTGTACGTAACACGCCTCGCAGAGACGCCTGTAAGACGCCCCGCAGAGGCGCTTGTAAGACGCATCGCAGGCGCTCCTCGCAGAGGCGTCTGCAAAACTCCACGCAGAAGCGCTCGTAAGACGCCGCGAAAGCGCCTCGCAGGAGCGCGTGTAAGGCGGTTCGCAGACGCCTCGCGGGATGCGCCTTGAAGACGCCTCGCAGAGACGCCTGCACGACGCCTCGCAGGGGCGTCTGCCAGACGCCTCTAAGATGCCTCGCAGAGGCGCGTGCAAGACCCCTTGCAGACCCTTCGCAGAGGGGCTTGTAAGACGCCTCGCAGACGCTTCGCTGAGAACTCCGCAAGGCGCCCCGAAGAGACCTGTCAGACGCCTCGCAGAGACGCCTGTAAGACTCCCGTGAACCGCCTCGCAGAGGTGCCTGTACGACGCCTCGCACAGACGCCTCACAGAGACGCCTGTAAGACGCCCTTTGGGACGCCTAAAGTGCGCACGCAAAGACTTCTGACCTAGGTTGGTTGGAACTCGTACTAACGTGGTTGGAATTAGTACCAAGGTGCTTGGAATCGGGTCTACTTGGTTGTACATTGTTCCACTGCTGGTGCCCCCCCCCCAAAAAAAAAGGTGCTCCCCCCCTGGTACCCATCGCCTACCCCCTTCAGTTTTTTTCAGAGGATGGTGCCGCACTTCTGTTCTGGGTTTTACAAACCGATAGGTGCCGATGCTTCAACATGGTGCTCCCGCTGCAGCGTTGGTCTGATTTCAGGATCGGCGCGCTGCTCCCGTCCTTCAGACTGGCGTTCTCGCTCCAGCGCGGGCGACTTGTCTGGATCCGAGCATTTTTTTCAAAGTCGTTGTCGCCCGCTCATTTCCCCTCCGCCTTCCCCTCCGCCTCCGCATAGATGTTATTGACGTTCCGCAGAAGGAGTCATGTCCCAGTCTCTCTATTGCAGTCGCCTTGTAATCATAGTCCGCAGCCACCTTAGCATATAGCAGAGCCGCAGAGCCTTAGACATTCGTTGTAAGCTAAAAGCAGCAAGCTAGGCTGGATGGGAGCCGTTTCAGAGGCCTTGAACTCAACCTCCTCCTACTTCTCCCACTCCTTCCACTCCAGTTCCTGCTGCAGCTGGTGTTCGTCCTCGTAGGCGCACCCGCGTAGGTGCCCGCTTGCAGGACTGCTGTTGCTACTGCTTCTGCTGCTGCTGCTGCTGCTCGTCTTGTCCCCATCCTTCCACCTCTTCCCCATCCTGCTCGTCCAACTGCTCACCCGCCTCCTCTTCCTCCCCCTCCTCCTCCTACGTACGCACCTTTCTTTTTTTCCCAACCCTCCTGCGTTGGGTACTCGTTTTGAATAGAGCACTGTGGTCTCCACCTTCCTCCTCCTCCCGCCTCCTCCCGCCTCCTCCTCTCTTCTCTTGCTCTTACCCCTCCTCTTCTCCTGGGATGCCGAGCGGAGTGACGCCCTACGGGGACTCAGATTAGACCTCGCCATCCCTGGTGGGGCTGCGATCTGTGAAACTGTCGCCACTTTCGAGGGCTGCTGGGGGACCCAGCGGAGTGACGCCCTACGGGGACTCAGATTAGACCTCGCCATCTCTGGGGGGGGGGGCTGCGATCTGTGGAACTGTCGCCACTTTCGAGGGCTGCTGGGGTGCCCAGCGGAGTGACGCCCTACGGGGACTCAGATTAGACCTCGCCATCCCTGGTGGGGCTGCGATCTGTGAAACTGTCACCACTTTCGAGGGCTGCTGGGGGGGCCCAGCGGAGTGACGCCCTACGGGGACTCAGATTAGACCTCGCCATCCCTGGGGGGCTGCGATCTGTGAAACTGTCGCCACTTTCGAGGGCTGCTGGGGTGCCTAGCGGAGTGGCGCCCTACGGGGACTCAGATTAGACCTCGCCATCTCTGGGGGGCTGCGATCTGTGAAACTCTCGCCACTTTCGAGGGCTGCTGGGGGGCCCAGCGGAGTGACGCCCTACGGGGACTCAGAATAGACCTCGCCATCCCTGGGGGGCTGTGATCTGTGAAACTGTCGCCACTTTCGAGGGCTGCTGGGGGGCCCAGCGGAGTGACGCCCTACGGGGACTCAGATTAGACCTCGCCATCCCTGGGGGGCTGCGATCTGTGAAACTGTCGCCACTTTCGAGGCTGCTGGGGGGGCCCCAGCGGAGTGACGCCCGTCGGGAATTCAGATTCGACCTCGCCATCCCTGGGGGGCTGCGATCTGCGAAACTGTCGCCACTTTCGAGGCCTGCTGGGGGGCCCAGCACAGTGGGTACCCACGGCGGATTCAAATTTGACTTCGCCATCCCTGGGGGGCTGCGATCTGTGAAACTGTCGCCACTTTCGAGGCCTGCTGGGGGGCCCAGCACAGTGGGTACACACGGCGGACTCAAATTGGACCTCGCCATCCCTGGGGGGCTGCGATCTGTGAAACTGTCGCCACTTTCGAGGCCTGCTGGGGGGCCCAGCACAGTGGGTACACACCGCGGACTGAAATTAGACCTCGCCATCCCTGGGGGGCTGCGATCTGTGAAACTGTCGCCACTTTCGAGGCCTGCTGGGGGGCCCAGCACAGTGGGTACACACGGCGGATTCAAATTAGACCTCGCCATCCCTGGGGGGCTGCGATCTGTGAAACTGTCGCCACTTTCGAGGCCTGCTGGGGGGCCCAGCACAGTGGGTACACCACCGCGGACTCCAAATTAGACCTCGCCATCCCTGGGGGGCTGCGATCTGTGAAACTGTCGCCACTTTCGAGGCCTGCTGGGGGGCCCAGCACAGTGGGTACCCACGGCGGGTTCAAATTGGACCTCGCCATCCCTGGGGGCTGCGATCTGTGAAACTTTGCTGACAGTGGGTACCTCAAATTAGACCTTGCCATCCCTGGGGGGCTGCGATCTGTGAAACTGTCGCCACTTTCGAGGGCTGCTGAGGGGCCCAGCACAGTTGGTACTCACCGCGGGCTCAAATTAGACCTCGCCATCCCTGTGGGGCTGCGATCTGTGAAACTGTCGCCACTTTCGAGGCCTGCTGGGGGGCCCAGCAGAGTGGGTACCCACCGCAGACTCAAATTGGACCTCGCCATCCCTGGGGGGCTGCGATCTGTGAAACTGTCGCCACTTTCAAGGCCTGCTGGGGGGCCCAGCACAGTGGGTAGTCACCGCGGATTCAAATTAGAACTCGCCATCTTGTGGGGGCTGCGATCTGTGAAACCGTCGCCACTTTCGAGGCCTGCTGGGGGGCCCAGCACAGTGGGCTTCCCGCACGTCTTTCTCCAGCTTTTCGTTCCCGACTCCCCATGTCCTCTTCGAGCCTGTAGGTGTCGCCCTTCGTTCTTGTATGGTTATCCTGCGCATCATGCCCTAGGCGCGTGTCCCAAGTAGCTTACATATCAAACAACGGATCCTGCAATTTGATTGTCCATGCAAGTTTCGGCCAACTCCTCGTTTCCCATGATACAAATGGGTTGGGTACGTCACAAGGTAATTTCCGATTGCGCATAGCACTTAGAGCTCTCTTTGAGAGTTACAGGGCGACCATGACACGCGTGTTTGGATACGGAACAACAGCGCAATGGGCTGGGATGGGTGGGAGTTCTAGTATGTCAGATATTGCGAAGGCCTTACGGCCGTTGCCGCCGACCCTGAAGATGACGAAAGACAACACGAGGGGGGGGGGCAGGAGGAGGAGGAGGAGGAGGAGGAGGCGGAAGGGAGTAGGAGGAGGAAGGGTGAAGGGGGAGGAGGAGGAGGCCTTATGGATGTTGGTTGGGATCTCGTGGTTGACCTCTCGGGGGCGTCTGGAAGGCAACTTGAAGCCTCTTGGGGGCCGTTGTGGGGCCTCTTGGGGCCTCTTTTGGGCCTCTTGGGGCTTCCGGAGGCCGTCTTCGGCGCATCTTGGGGGCGTCTTGGCGCCGCTCGGGGGCCTCTTGGGGCCTTTTGGGGGCCTCTTGGGGCTTCCCGGGGGCCTCTTAGGGCGGAAGTCTCGAATTCTCGGTTCCTCGTCCCCCTCTTGGCCGTTTCTTGGGCCCGTCTTGGGGCCCTATTGGGCCGTCTTGGGCGCCTCTTAGGCTGTCCTGGGGCCTTCTTGGGCCGTCTTGGGGCCCTCTTGTAGGCCTCTTGGGGCGCTCTTGGGGGCCTCTTGGGGGCCTCTTGGGCCGTCTTGGAGTGTCGGAAAGCCGAAAAGGCGAGAAGGCCAAAATCATTCAAAAACGATGTAAAATTGACGATTTTGGCGCCTGGGGCCCTCTTGGGTGTGCTCTTGGGGCTCTCTTGGAGCGTCTTGAGGGCCTCTTGGGCCGTCTTCGGGCCGTCTTGGGCGTCTTGGGGCCATCGTTCGTCGAGTCGAGGCCCTCTTGTACCCTTTTGGGGGTGTCTTCTGTCGCTCTTGGCTCGTCTTGAAGCTTTTCTGAGCTCCGGGACCCCCCGGGGAGGATGCGTATCTGGGTGGCGACCCCCCCCGGCGACCCCCCCCCCCCCCGGCGGGGAGGGTAGGGAGGGGCTTCGCCACGACTCAACTACGACGTTGCTCAATGTCGCTTTGGCTCGCGCGCTCAAGGAGACGGGGAACGACGAAGACGACGAGGGACAACGGAGACGGAGACGACGAGGACACGACGGAGACGACGACGACGACGACGACGACGACGGTGATCCACGCAAGACGACGACACCGGGATGCGTCTTCCACACGCCGACAGGGTCGGCGGATTTCGCGAGCGCACGTAGCTTGACATGTGTACTACTCTCCTCCTTCCCCTGACTACGTCCTGGAAGCGTCCCGCTCTCCCCGTGCCTCGTATGGCCTTTCCACAGGATTTCAACACCTGATGTTTGCAAGGGCTTTCAGTCGGAACGCATTCGGTGTTTCAAAATTGTGATCCTGCTGCAGCGCTGGCCTCATCTCAGGATCGGCGTCTTGCACCCTTGGTTCAACATTGCGCCCTCGCCACAGCGCGGGCCTGATTTCTGGATCGGAGTCCTTCCTCGTCGTTGTCGCCACCTTTTCCCTTCCTCCGCCTCCCCCTGGTCCTGGAGCTCCTCTCGCCCCTCCTGCCCCTACTCCCGTTGTTGCGGCTGTTACCCCCCTCCTCCTCATCCTCCTGCGCATCCTCCCGCTTCTCCGCTACCTCCTCCGCCTCCTCCAGTGTACACAGCTCTCCTTTCTGCCCGTGCATGGCGTCTCGGGGCTCCAGACCCGCTGTGACACCCGCCTGCCGAGAGAGAAGCATCAGCGCAGTGGGACGGGATGGGTGGGAGGGGCAGGATGCCCGATGTGGCGCGGGCGCGCCTAGTTTGAGCCTCCCCTCTCCCCCCTCCCCCCTCGGCTTCCGGGCCGGCGTGGACATCGGGGACGCGTGGACGGGTCGCATGATCCCTGCGGGGGGTGGCCAGGTGGGGCTCTACCTCACCGAGCTCCCGGACGAGATAGGCGACATGGTCTCCCTGGAGGGGCGCGGGGGGGGGCGCATGGACAGAGCGGGGGAGGGTGACTGGATCCTCGGCCATCTAGCCTCGAGCCTCGAGCCTCGATCCCTCGATCCTTCGATCCTCGACGCTCCATCCACGATCCTGGATCCTTCGATCCTCGATCCCTGGATCCTCGATCCTCGACTCTTCGACCCTCGATCCTCGGATCCCCGAGCACCTCCAGAGGTGAGCCGCGTGGCCGCGCTCCCAGCGGGAACACGGCGGGGCGGCGCGGGCAGCTGATCCTCCTCTTCCTCCTCCTCCTCCTCCTCCTCCTCCTCCTTGTCCTCCTTGTCCTCCTCGTCCTCGTCCTCGTCCTCGTCCTCGTCCTCTCCTCCTCCTCCTCCTCCTCCTCCTCCTCCTCCTCCTCCTCCTCCTCCTCGTTAAGGGGAAGGGGAGGGGGAGGGGTTCGATCGGCAGCAGGGGGTGATCGAATAGAAGCGAGGGCGAGGCGAATGGCGATGCCTGGGAAGGGGTGTGTGTGCGTGTGCTCCGTCGTGCTCTGCCGTGCTCTAGCACGACCGGGCGTCTCCTCGTGCCGTTTAGTTGTCTCCCTTCTGTCGCCTCTCCCTCTTCTCAATTTTGTGAGTGTCTCCGGGTGTCTGGCTGGGTGGCTGACTCACCGCGCCCGTTGTGCCTTTACAGTTGCATGGTGGACAGGATATTTGGTTACCTCACAGTCTGTCTGGCTGTTCAGTCCTGTTGCTTGCAGTGGATTTGGACCTGCAGTCATTTCTGCATGTTGTCCAGTCTTGCCTGCTTGCACCCGGTTTGGTAGGAGCATGGGCGCGTCGGATCGTCGACGCGGTTCCTCTTCGGATTTCGCTGTCGTGGTGTTGTTGCATGTAAGTCCAACACCGCGCATCATCGCGGCTGCTTGCAATGTCGGTTCGTAGGTTCAAACCCTAGCCATTTACTTTTTCGGGCCGTGTTGGGTCTGCGTTTATCGCACCAATCGGCTGGTCTAGCATCTGTTACAGTATTCGTTGCGCTCCGCTGTCTAACACCAGTACTCGGTGATTCAGTGGCCGCCAATTCGAACCAGACTGTTCGCGCTTCAGTTTACTTCGACTTGGGTATCCTCCTCGGTTTTCTGGCTGCTGCGTGTTTCGTTTGGACTGCACTCTGCGCGGTGTCGCGCCAATTATCTGTCGCTGTGCTTCAGCCTCGTCTCTGTCTAATTTGTTTGCAGGTGCACTCTGCGCGGACTCGCGCCAATTATCTGTCGCTGTGCCCCAGCCTCGGTCATACCGCCCTCTGGACTTCTCCTTGCGGGCCGCGAATCAAAAAAGTGTTTCGTTTGGACTTGCAGTTCCTCAGCACACCACCCAGGGCCTGCACTTTACAATGTGCGACGCTTCGTACACTGTGCTTTCGATTCTGCTCGTTCGCAATCAGCACTTCTATGTGCTGCCCGCGCTAGACGACCCTCTGCGCCGATACGTGTAAGTGTGAGGAAGAGGTGTGTGTGTGTGATTTTGTGGGGGTGAAGCTGACCGAGACTTGCGCGTGGCCTGAGCGACGGAGACGACGAGTACAATATGCGTGCTTCTGAGCGAGATCACATATGCGCAATCAGGGAGAGCCATGAAGAGATGCGATAGGGGAGGAGAGGAGGAGGGGCGATAGGAGGAGGAGGAGGAGGAAGAGGAGGAAGAGGAGGACGAGGAGGAGGAGGGGAGAGAAGGAGGATGAGGAGGAAGCCAAGGATGATAATGACAAGTAGGTCGGTGAGGAATATGGACGCTAGCGTAGTGCACGAGTGGCGACGATAAAATGCGGACGTGGGACCGGATCACTGAACTATCCGGTTTTTTAGGGAGTGGGCTCAGACATTCCAGACGACATTTTCGAACATATCCTGTGGCAGTTGCGCTTTCTTTTTGGATGCGAGAGGTTCTCCTGGATGCGAATGTTTCGGATGGTTGCCCGCCCCCTCCCCTCTACTTCTCTACGCGCGCCCTTGGGCGAGTTCAGCGTCGCGAAGCCCCCGCGCTGTCCGTCATCGTTCTTGCATGGGCTCGCCCGGCGTTGGACGTCCCGGGCGGGGCCCCGTGGCAGGGCCAGCTCTACTGCACGGGGACCGGCGTCAGGGCGATACCCGAGCGGACCTCCAGGCCGCCCGCCGCCGCCGTTGTCCCGGACCTTCGGCAGTGACGTCCCCAGGCCTTGCCGTGCCGGCCGCGCCGATCACACCGCTGGCTGCCTGCAGCGTTCACCGTCTCTCCTCCGAGGCTGCAGCAGTCACCAGGCATCCTGCAGTGGTCCCGTGGAACTCAACCGAAAGGCCTTGCCGTCCGCGCTCACCCCGTGAAAACGTCGGTCGCAGAGCAATTCTGCGTAGAAGGAAGGTTGTGAGAGATAACCGAACTCAGGTTAATCTCGTCGTCAAGGCTACACCGGCGGTGAATCCTGTTCTCTGGACGTGACTATCCCGCGCCCGATCGCAATACCCAGTAACTCGATGTCGCGCTCACGCCAAATCATGTCCTGGACGCTCCGTGTTTCCCTACCAGCCCATCCAGAAACGATGCCCAAGGGAGTTGTCTAGAAGAGAGGCGTAGGCATGCATATAGTTTAGGAAGGTGGCCAACAATTATGGAATTAGAGACTTCGGGGGCCTCTTGGAGCCATCTTGGGCCATTGTGGAAGCCTTTTCGGGTCTCTGGGGGCCCTCTTGGGGCCATCTTGGGGCTTTCTTGGGGCCCTCTTGGGGGCCTTGGGGGCCCTCTTGGGGTCATGTTGGACGCCATCGATGAGAAGCTGGGGTTCTGCATGTCAGTCCCCCTGGCATGGCCCTCAGAATGGCCTCCTTGGGGCCATCTTGGGGCCATCTTGGGGCGCTCTTGGGGCGTTCTTGGGGCGCTCTTGGGCGCTCTTGAGGCCGCCTCGGGCTCTCTTGGGCCACTCTCGGGACTCTCGTGGGCCATCTTGGAGCCATCGTGAGACCTCAAGAGCTCATGGGAAGCGAACATGCGTGCAGACAAGACATATCATTCAAGTGGCTTGCGCCCTTCCGCCAGCACCCAGCGGGATGAAGACGTCCAGGGCGTTCGGTAGGCTGTCTTGGAGCTGGAGTGGTGGATATTATTTCCACGCCCGCGAGGGTGCAGCAGCAGCAGCAGGAAGAGGAGGAGGAGGAGGAGGAGGAGGAGGAGGAGGAGGAGGGGGAGGAGCAGGAGGAGGAGGAGGAGGAGGAGGTGGATGATGATGATGATGATGATGATGATGATGATGATGATGATGATGATGATGATGATGATGATGATGATGATGATGATGATGATGATGATGATGATGATGATGATGATGATGATGATGATGATGATGATGATGCTGATGATGATGATGATGATGATGATGATGATGATGATGATGATGATGATGATGATGATGATGATGATGATGATGATGATGATGATGATGATGATGATGATGATGATGATGATGATGATGATGATGATGATGATGATGATGAGGATGAGGAGAGGATGAGAGGATGAGGATGAGATGAGGATGAGAGGAGGGAGGAGGAGGAGGAGGAGGCGGAGGAGGAGGAGAGGACGAGGAGGAGGAGGATGAGGAGGATGAGGAGTAGCGGTGGTGGAAGGAGGAGGGCGGAGGGAGGGAGGACATACTTTTCGGGGTGCAAGGGGGGCGGTTGGGGTTTGTCATGGGGCTCCGTGAGGGTTTCTGGGAGGCCTCCAGTGGAGGCTCTGAGGACCCTTTTGTTGGCTACTGGTGGGCTCGTGGGGCTGGCTTGGAGCTTTGTGGAAGAGCCTTTAGGATGCATATGAGGGTCTCTTGGATTGTCTCTTAGGGGCCTTTTCGAGGCTTGTTGGGGGCAGCTAGTTAGCTTTTTGGGTCCTCCTTGGGGCCTTCTGGGGGCCTATAGGGCGCCTCTTGGGGGCCTGTTGGATGCCTCTTGGAGGCCTCTTGTGGGCGCCTCGGGGGTCTCTTGGGGGCTTCTGGGGCCATGGCAGGATAAAAGTTCGACATGTCAGTTGTATTGCTCATCTTGGGCCTTCCTTCGGGCCCTCGTGGGTCGTCTTTGGGGCCCCTGGGGCCGTCTTGGGCCCTCTCGGGCCCCCTTGGGCCGCCTTCGGGCCCTCTTGGTGGCCTCATGGGCCGTCTTGGGACGATCTTGGGAGCCCCTTGGGCCTTGGACACGCTGTCAAGACGAAGACGCCAGGTATGTCGAAAATGCTTGTTTTCCAAAGGGAATGTGGCGATTTTTGAGTCTTACGGCCCTCTCGGTGCTCCTCGGGGAGCACTTTTGGGCCGTTTTGGGGGCCTCGTGGGCTGTATTGAAGCCATCTTCGACCATCGCGGGGTTGCCCTAGGCCTTCTCGACGCTCTTTGGGACTGTCTCTGCGCTCTGCTTGGGCCCTCTTGGTCTGTTTTGGGGCTCTGGAGGCTCAGGAGAGCCCCTGAGGTGCGTTGACGAGCTCATACCCCCCCCCTCTAAAGAGGATCTGGGACACCTGGGGAGGGGGTACGAGGAGGGGGACAGCCAAATGTCCCACACGGTTCTTCACACCCGGCAAGCAGGGGTCGGCGGACTTGTATCGTGGCCGGTGGATTTGTATTAGGTTTCAGAGTTTTTTGGCCTCTCGGTGGGTCTTTGGATGGCTCCGTGTCCACTTGGAGCCGTTTTGGGACGTTCATGGTGCCTCTTGGAGGCATGGTGGATATTGACATCTCTTGGGCTATGTTGTACGTACTTGGAGGCCATTCTAGGCTATCTGGGGCCCTCTTGGGGCCATCTCGGGCCATCTTAGACGCTCTGACTCCTCGCGAGCCCCCTTCCAGACCAAGAGAGAGGGCTTACCGAAGGAGAGGAAGGATGTTGGAATAACAATATCGGTAAACTACTACTCTCCCAAAGGGCTGGTGGTATTTGCATTGCTTAATTTTTCTGGAGCATCTGCAGATCCCGCTCCCGTCATACTTGTAGTCTGAGGTACCACATAACAATAAACATCAATTACTATCTGCATCATGTTCAGCGGGGACATGTGTTGATGTGTAATGTCGGAAGGTGAGAAAAAGCGCTTTCTGCTGTCACTTGTAGGGCCCCCCTGAATTTGAACCAAGGGGGGGCGACGACGACGGCATCGTGCTCGGCGTTGTCGTCGTCGTCGTCGTCGTCGTCGCCGCCGCCGTCGTCGTCGGCGGCGGCGGCGGCGATGGTGGCGGCGTCGGCGTCGGCGTCGGCGTCGTGCTCTTCGTTGTCGGCGTCGGCGTCAACGTCGTCGTCGGCGACGACGGCGTCGGCGTCGGTGTCGGCGTCGGCGTCGGTGTCGGCGTCGTCGTCGTCGGCGTCGTCGTCGTCGTCGTCGTCGTCGTCGTCGGCGTCGGCGTCGGCGTCGGTGTCGGCGTCTGCGTCGGCGTCGGTGTCGGCGTCGGCGTCGGTGTCGGCGTCGGCGTCGGCGTCGGCGTCGGCGTCGGCGGCGGCGTCGGCGTCGGCGTCGGCGCCAGCGTCGGCGTCGTTGTCGAATTTGTGCTCGGCGTCGGCGTCGTCGGCGTCGTGCTCGGCGTGGTCGTCGTCGGCGTAGGCGTCGGCGTGGCCGTCTGCGTCGGCGCCGTTGTCGGCGTCGGCGTCCTCGGCGTCGTGCTCGGCGTTGTGCTCGGCCGCGTCGTTGTCATCGTCGTCGTCGTCGTCGTTGTTGGCGTCGTCGCCGTCGTCGTCGTCGTCGTCGTCGGCGTCGATGTCGGCGTCGGCGCCGGCGTCGGCGCCGGCGTCGGCGCCGGCGTCGGCGTCGTCGTTGTCGTCGTCGTGCGCGTTGTCGTTGCTCGGCGTTGGCGCCGTCGGCGTCGGCGTCGGCGTCGTGCTCGGCATCGCGCTGGGTGTCGTCGTCGTCGTCGTCGTCGGCGTCGTCGTCGTCGTCGTCGTCGTCGTCGTCGTCGGCGAGGTCGTCGGCATCGTGCTCGGCGTCGTCGTCGTCGTCGTTCTCGTTGTCGGCGTCGGCGTCGTCGTCGTCATCGTCGTCGGCGGCGTCGGCGTCGGTGTCGTCGTCGTTGTCGTCGGCGTCGTCGTCGTCGTCGTCGGCGTCCGCGTCGTGCTCGACCTCGTGCTCTTCGTCGTTGGTGTCGGCGTCGGCGTCGTTGTCGGCGTTGGCGTCGTTGTCGGCGTCGGCGTTGTCGGCGTCGTTGTCGGCGTTGGCGTCGTTGTCGGCGTCGGCGTCGTCGGCGTCGTTGTCGGCGTCGTTGTCGGCCTCGTGCTCCGCGTCGTGCCTTTCGTGTTTGTCGGCGTCGGCGTCGTCGTTGGCGTCGGCGTCGTCATCGTCGTCGTCGTCTGCGTCGGCGTCGGCGTCGGCGTCGTGTTTGGCGTTGTTGTCGGCGTCGGCGTCGGCGTCGTCGTCGTCGTCGTCGCCGGCGTCGGCGTCGGCGTCGGCGTCGTCGTCGGCGTCGTCGTCGTCGGCGTCGTCGGCGTCGTCGTCGTCGTCGTCGGCGTCGTTCTCGACGTCGTGCTCGGCGTCGTTCTCGGCGTCGTGCTCTTTACTGTTGTCGGCGGTCGTCGTCGGCGTCGTCGGCGTCGTCGTCGTCGTCGTCGGCGTCGTTCTCGACGTCGTGCTCGGCGTCGTTCTCGTCGTCGTCGTCGTCGTCGTCGTCGGCGCCAGCGTCGGCGTCGGTGTCGGCGCTGGGCATCGTCGTCGTTGTCGTCGTCATCGTCGTGGTCGTCGTCGTCGTCGTTGTCGTCGGCGGCGGCCGCGGCGTCGGTGTTGGCGTCGGCGTCGTTGTCGACGTCGTGCTGCGTCGTGCTCGGCGTCGTGCCCGGCGTCGGCGTGGGCGTAGTCGTCGTCGTCGTCGTGCTCGTCGTCGTCGTCGTCGTCGTCGTCGTCGTCGTCGTCGTCGTCGTCGTCGTCGTCGTTGTCGGCGTCGTGCTCAGAGCCGTGCTCGGTGTCGTCGTCGTCGCTGTCGTCGTCGTCGTCGTCGTCGTTGGCGTCGGCGTCGTCGGCGTCGTCATCGTCGGCGTCGGCGCCAGCGCCGGCGTCTGCGTCGTCGGCATCGTGCTCGGCCTCGGCGTCGTCGCCGTCGTCGTCGTCGTCGTCGTCGTCGCCGTCGTCGTCGTCGTCGTCGTCGTCGGCGTCGTCGTCGTCGTCATCGTCGGCGTCGTTGTCGGCGCGTCGGCGTCGGCGCGTCGGCGTCGTGCTTGGCGTCGGCGTCGGCGTCGTCGTCGTCGTCGTCGTCGTCATCGTCGGCGTCGGCGTCGGCGTCGGCGTCGGTGTCGGCGTCGGCGTCGGCGTCGGCGTCGGCGTCGGCGTCGGCGTCGGCGTCGGCGTCGGCGTCGTCATCGTCGTCGTCGTCGTCGTCGTCGTCATCGCCGTCGTCGTCATCGTCGTCGGCGCGTCCTCGTTGTCGTCTTCGCTGTGAGCGCCGCCGCTGGCGTGTCGTCGTCGTCGTCGTCTTCGTCGTCGTCGTCGTCGTCGTCGTCGTCGTCATTGTCGTCGTCGTCGTCGTCGTCGTCGTCGGCGGACCCGGGTGATGACGGGGACGATGGTGAGAGGGACAGTAGGGACGGTAGTGGGGACGATGATGGTGACTGGGGTCGAGGGGGGCGGTTGGAACGCTATGGGGGCGGTGGTGGGGACGGTCAGGGACGGTGGTGGGGACGGTGGTGGGGACGGTGGTGGGAGCGGCGGGGGCGGTGGGGACGTGGTGTGGACGGCGTTGGGGACGGTGGTGGGGACGGCCGGGTCGGTGGTGCTGACGAACTATGACGGCGGTGAAGGTGGGGACGGTGGTGGGAACGGTGGTGGGGACGGTGGCGGATGGTGGTGGGGACGGGTTTCGATGATTGTTTTTCGTGTGCATTGTCATTTGCGCATTTATTGCGCCGCTCGACTGGACGCCCCGCGCGGTGTCGTCGTCGTCGTCGTCGTCGTCGTCGTTGTTGTCGTGCTGTCGTGTTGTCGTTTTGTCGTTTTGTCGTTTTGGTCGTCTTGTCGTTTTGTCGTTTTATCGTTTTGTAGTTTTGTCGTCGTCGGCGTCGTCGTCGTCGTCGCTGGCGTCGTCGTCGTCGTCCTTGACGCTGTTGTCTTCGCTGTCGGCGCCGCCGCTGTCGTGCCGTCGTCGTCGTCGTCGTCGGCGTCGTCGTCGTCGTCGCTGCCTTCCCCCCCGGGTTCGAATCTGGGGGGGGGACTGTTTCCCCCCCTCCCTGGTTCCGAGGAGGGGTGGACTCCCCCACCCACCAAGCAAGCGCCCGCGAAACGCGCTCTCTCGAAGATGAGTAAATAGGCGTGGGATGAAGTAATTGGCGGAATTTACGCGGGATGGATTCAGTTGCGCCATGCGAATAATGAGCTTAGAATCCTGAAGCCGAAGTCCTCAGCCCTAGGCCTTGAACCAGACTCCTAGTCATTGTAAGAAATGAAGGGCTGGGGAGAACAGGGGAAGGAGAAGGGGGAAGGAGGAGGGAGGTGGAGGAGGAGGATGGCGGAACGAGGAAGGATGATGGATGGAGGATGAATGGAGGAGGGACGAAGGGGGTGGAGGGAGAGAAGCAGAAGGACGGGAGGAAATAGAGAGAAGGGAATATGGAGGAGGGAGAAAGTGGGATATAGAGGAGGAGGAGGATGAGGATGAGGATGAGGAGGGAGAAGAGGAAAAGAAGGAGGACCAGTGTAAACCCAAGACTCCTCAACGATGGCACATTAAACCCTTCCTCCAAGTTCCTTCTTGTAGGCCCATACAAGGCTGTTGTTCCTTTTTGAAGCTGGTGTAAGCTGTTAAGACGAACGTGTGCGGCGCGAGGGCGAGAGCCACCTCTTGAACAGTGAACCGCCCTCCATCCGTGAAGCTCCTGCGTTTGTGAGTCGAGTGTGCGCCGCGCTAGGGCGAAAGCCACATTTTGAGACGGAGCTGTCCTCAACCCGTGGAGCCTGCAGTTTCTGAGACGAGTGTGCGCGGCGCCAAGGCGAGAGCCACACTCTGAAAGCGGCCCGCCCTCGATCCGTGAAGCGTTTCCAGTTTTTTCCCCAACCATCCTGTGGTGTTGGGTCCTCGTTTTGAAGAGACGGTCCCCGCGTTCCTCTCCTCTTCTCCTCCTCTTCCCCCTCCTCCTCCCTCCTCCCTCTTCCATGCGTTTCGCCCACCCAGCACAGCGTTTCGTGGCCCCGTAGGGGGCTCCACCGATGGTCCCAGTGGCACCGCCAGCATGCGTCCGCCACCACCCAGCACAGCCCTTGCTCCCTGCGTTTCACCGACAGAGTATAGCGTTTCGTGGCCCCGTAAGGGGGTTCCACCAAAGGTCCCAGTGGCACCGCCCGCATGCGTCCGCCACCACCCAGCACAGCCCTTATTCCATGCGTTTCGCCCACCCAGTACAGCGTTTCGTGGTCCCATAAGGGGCTCCCCCGAAGGTCCCAGTGACACCGCCCGCATGCGTCCGCTACCACCCAACACGGCCCTTGCTCCCTGCGCTTCACCCACCCAGTACAGCGTTTCGTGGCCCCATAAGGGGGCTCCACCAAAGGTCCCAGTGGCACCGCCCGCATGCGTCCGCCACCACCCTGCGTTTCACCCACCCAGTACAGCGTTTCGTGGCCCCATAGGGAGCTCCACCGAAGGTTCCAGTGGCACCGCCCGCATGCGTCCGCCACCACCCAGCACAGCCCTTGCTCCCTGCGTTTCACCCACCCAGTACAGCGTTTCGTGGCCCCATAGGGAACTCCACCGATGGTCCCAGTGGCACCGCCTGCATGCGTCCACCACCACCCAGCACAGCCCTTGCTCCCTGCGTTTCACCCACCCAATACAGCGTTTCGCGGACCCATAGGCGGCTCCACCGAAGCCCCCAGTGGCACCGCCCGCATGCGTCCGCTACCACCGAGCACAGCCCTTGCACCCTGCGTTTCACCAACCCAGTACAGCGTTTCGTGGCTCCATATGGGGGCTCCACCGATGGTCCCAATGGCACCGCCCGCATGCGTCCGCACCACCCAGCACAGCCCTTGCTCCCTGCGTTTCGCCCACCCAATACAGCGTTTCGTGGCCCCATAGGCGGCTCCACCGAAGGTCCCAGTGGCACCGCCCGCATGCGTCCGCCACCACCCAGCACAGCCCTTGCTCCCTGCGTTTCGCCCACTCAGTACAGCGTTTCGTGGCCCCATAGGGAGCTCCACGGAAGGTCCCAGTGGCGCCGCCCGCATGCGTCCGCCACCACCCAACACGGCCCTTGCTCTCTGCGTTTCGCCCACCCAGTACATCGTTTCGTGGCCCCATAGGGAGCGCCACCGACTTGGAGATAGTTTATCGTGTTGGCTTCGCAATTAGTGGATCCGCAACCGTTGGATCAATCCAGCCGCACGAGCCGGGGGTTCGCCCATGGTGTGGGCGAGGGCCGCCGCGGCGGGCGCGGGCGGCCTGGCGCACCTGGGTAGCCTCTGGTACGGACAGAGGTGCACCTGCCAGGTGGACCTCGGCGAGGGTCTCTCGGTCGCCCGCGAGCTGCTGCGCCTGCTGGAGGGCCAGCTGCAGCGTTGGGGGCCCGCCAACCTCACGGTCCCCGCGCCTTGTGCGCCGCCCGAGTGCTCGGGCTACCAGGGCCTAGTGGTGCTGCTGGTGGCGGTGCTGGCGTTCCTGGCGGACGTCTGCGCCTCGACGGACTGCTGCTGGTGGTGGCTGCGCCGCGCAGCGACGGCCGCCCGGGGCCGTCTCTGCCTCCCAGAGGTCCCCGATGTCCGCTCACCTTCGTCAGGGCCAGCGGGTGCTCGTCTCCTGCGACGTGGGCCTGAGCGGCTCTTGTGCGCTCGCGTGCACGAGGGCGCGTGGGTGGTCGCCGCTCCCGAGCGCGACATCTACCTGGAGGACCGTCAGGACGGGATCGAGAGCCTGGTGTCGCTCGGCCCGATGGGTGGGCTGCCGTCTGGCTGGAGCTGCGGGCCGACGCACATGTTCCGGGGCTCGTCCCAGGGCCCGCTGCGTCAGGCTGAGAGCTTGCGCCCGCAGGCGGAAGGTGCGGAGCTGGCGGAGCAGGAGCGGCGGGACCTCGGCCTAGGCGCTGCTCGGCCTGCGCCTCTCCCCGCCCGTGCGCCGCCGCCGCTGGCGCAGGAGGGCGACCCGGCAGCTGAGGAGGGCGAGTGGCGCTCATCCGAGAGTCGGGGAGAGGCGCGCTTGGGCGAGCGCGTGGGTGCCGCGGAGCTGGAGGCTCGCTGCCGCCGCGGCGATCGAGGGGTAGCCCAGGTGGGTGGCCTTTTCGTCGCGTGCTCCTTCTTCAGGCCAGGCGAGGAGGTGCCGGCGCCCAGAGGAGGAGCCGCGCGGGAGGGGCCGGCCAGCGAGCTGCGGACGCTCCCCATGAGGCACGAGAATTCGACTCGGCGGTGCCGCTCCTACAAGGAGGCCGCGTCGCTCACCGCGACCGCGGCCTTCGACGACTGGCCCATCAGCGGGCCTCGGACGGCAGACTGGCTCGCGCGCGAGATCGCCCGCCAGGAGCTGACGCCGGTGCGGAGGCACTTCTGGTGGCGACAGGTTCTTGGGCCTGGGCCCCAGCGACTGGGGTGTGGGGGGGCGCGAGTCCTTCGGCCGGCTCTTCGAGTGCGCCCCGATGTACGACCAGCTCAACTTCGGTGAGTTGGCCTCGCTGGAGCTCGCGGGGCGGCGCTGCCAGTTGCTGGAGGAGAGGTGCGCCCGGATGCCGATCTTGGCGACGGCAGGCGGTGACAGCGGCCGCCTCGACAACGACAGGATCTTCATGGGCGAGGAGGGCCGGCGCGGGCGCGCTCTGGTTGCGCCGGCGCTGGAGACTTGGATCTCGCAGAAGTTGTCGGAGTTGAGCGCCGTGCTCAAGGGGCGCCGCAAGGCCATGGGGGAGCGGCAACCGACTCGCTCGACGGACGTGACCCCCGGTGCCTCGAGCAAGACGAACGACGACAAGCCCCCCAAGAACCCGCGCAAGAAAGGCGTCGGGCAGGGGGGTGGGGCTGCTTGACCTACTTCGGACGGCGGAGGCCCCCGGCCGTCGTCCCAGCTGCATGGGGGGGCATTGCTCGCGTGAGGAGGATGGCGAGCCGCCGTGGTGTTGCAGGTGAGGGACTTGACTGGGCTCGCGATCTGCTGCCTCTGCCGTCTGGTCGCTGCCTGGCTGTTCTCCTGGAGGGGTTATCGCCGGCGGGGCTGCGTGTTTCGCGCTGCGCGGATCGCCGGCGCTCGCGCCGTCGGGCTGCGGAGGCGTGGCTGCAGGACGGCGTCGCGACGCTCAGCGCTCCTGGCGGGCGCGGTGAGGTGTGGGGGGCCCCGAAGTGTTGCCTGGTGCCATTCAACGCCGGGCGGTGGCCAGCTTGGCCAGGGCCTACTACTCCGTGCCGCCACCGCCCGATGACCTCACCACCTCTGGAGCGTGGTCTGCGCTTCGGGGCTGCGGATTCGGCTACGCCTGTGATGGCGTCGTCGCCGGAGTTCGCTACCTGCCAGCCTGGCAGGTTTGCCCTGCCGGCGGTCGGCAACCAGGCGATCGACCTCGTCGGCTGCCTGCCCGACCACTACCAGAGGTTGCTGGAGGATAGTGGCCGCGCTATTCGGCTACCGGCAGCGTGTGCACAGGACCGCGTGGCGAGGGCGGACGAGTTGGACATCGCGATGGATTCCATCCAGTGGAGGTCTCCGAGCAAGTTCGCCGAGTTTTGAACAGTGCTTATGAATGTGGAGTCGTCGAGCCGGCGGCCGAGGTTCGCAATCTTGTGGGAGTCTTCTTTGTTCGCAAGAAGGGCGGCTCGCTGCGGATCATCTTCGATCCTCGGAAGACCATCGCGCAGTTCGTGCCGCCCGACGGTGTCGCCTTGGCCTCGCCCGAGGCCCTCGGCGATCTGGAGCTGCCAGCTGGTCAAAGGTTGTGGGTCAGCGAGGGGGGCGTCGAGAACTGCTACTGCCAGTTCCTGCTGCCAGTTGACCTGCGTGCCGACTTCGTCGTGCTGCCGGCGGTGCCGCGTCGGGCGCTGCCGCGACGCTTGCGCGAACTGTTTCCTGCGGGCGCCGAGCTGGTGCACTTCCAGGTTCGCGTGGGCCGTGGCGCGCGTGTAGGCGGCGAATGCGGAGCTGCTGCGGTCGCGGCCATTGGGCGCTCGACGCTGGCTCTGCAATCGCCGCTGCGCGCCCGCCGTCGCCGGGCGCGAGCTCGCTGCTCTTCTGTGCATGGACAACTTCGCCTCGTTGGGGACCGTGAAGGAGGCAGTCCAGGTTGACGGCGACTCGAGCGAGGGGCAGCTGAGGGGTCGTGGTCTGGCTACTCATGACGTCTCCGGGCCGCAATTCGACGTGGACCTCCTGGGCTTCCACGTCGACGGGGAGAAGGGCGCGATCCACATCGCGCCCAGCGGTTCTGGCGGCTGGTCCTGAGTCTGGGTTGCATCCCGACGCATCCACTCCTGACGGGAGCCGAGCTGGAGAGGCTGATCGGGCACCTGACGTACGTCCTCTTGCTGCGGCGCGAGATGCTCAGCCTGCTCAGCGCCTCCTACGTCTTCATCGGCAAGTGCTGCGCTCGCCGAGTGCGGCTCTGGCCTTCAGTGCGTCGGGAGCTGTCCTGGATGCGGGCGCTGCCGCCGCTGGTGTGGGCCGATCTGTGAGGCGCCTGGGCGCCTGGCGTCGTGCCGTGGATGCGTCCCTGACGGGCTTGGGCGCTGTGGAGTGCGCCGCCGCCCCAGCCGAGGTGGGCCGCATCGCGCGTGTGCGAGAGCGCTGGCGGTTCGAGGAGCGCGAGCTGGTGGCCGAGGGCTCGAGGGCGCGCGCCTTGCGAGAGTGCGCCAAGGGCGACTCCGCCTTTCCCGACGTGCCCGCCGATTTCTTCAAGTCATTTCCGTAGAAGACTGTGGCTTCGAGGCGCTGGCGGCACAAGGCTCCTATCCATCTCCTGGAGGGCGAGCTCTGGGCGATGCGGAGGCAGGTGCGCTGGGTGACGCATCGCGGCTGCTGGCTGCTCTTCCTGTCCGATAGCATGTGTACCTGTTGTGCAGTCGCAAAAGGACGGGCCTCGGAATTTCCCATCCTTGCACAGTTACGGCACCTCACCGCACTTCAGCTCGCTTCTTTCCTCGTGTCGAGTCTCAGTTCGTTGGATTCCCTCCGAGTGGAACCCCGCCGACGGCTCTTCCAGGCGGTTCGAGCCTCGCCGTTTGCGGGGCGATGGAACGCCGAACGGTCCTGGCGGCCGCGCCGAGGGAGCCGCTGCCGCTGGCCTCGAGCGTGCCTGCGGGCCGCCGCCGAGCTGCGGCCGCGCCTCTGGGTACCCCGCCGGCGAGGGCCCGTGCCAGACGCCGTGGCGCCGCGGCCGAGCTGCTGGCCGCGACGGCCTCGCCGTGGCACCGCCTCCTGGGCTCGAGCGTCTCGGGCCTGGAGCTGGAGGCAGTGGGGCCACCGACGCAGCAGTGCTACCTGCGCTGCCCCAGTGGCCTTTGCCGTTGGCTGGGTCTGGTGACTCTGCCCAACTGGTGCGCGCCGGAGTGGGGCGACGCGCTGCTGCAGTACCTGAGCGACGAGTTCTCGGGAGGTGCGCGACCCAACAGGGCGGCGAAGCTGCTGTCGGTGGTGCCGTGGGCGTGGCCAGCGCTGGGGCGACCCCTGCGGGCTGTGCTGCCGCGGAGCAGCCGAGCGCTGCTTTGCTGGAAGCGCAGGTGACCAGGCCCCTCGCGCCCGTCGCCTCCCTGGCTCGTCCTGTGCGGAGTCCTGGGGATCCTGATGGCGTGCGCACTCGGCCTCTTGTTCCACCGCTACCTGCGACCAGGCGAGCTGCTGGCCGCGAAGGCGTTTCAGCTGGTGGCACCGGCTGAGGGCCTGCAAGTCGGGTTCCGCTGGTGGACGCTGCTGCTGCATCCAGAGGAGCTGCTGGTGCCCGGCAAGACAGGCGAGCTGGGCGACTCGCTGCCGCTGGACGTCCCCGAGCTCCTCTGGCGCACGCCAGCGCTGAGCGAGCGCAATGCGCGGCTGGGGCCCCGCGCGACACTGGAGTTTCGGCTGCGCGCAGCTGCGCGCGGAGTTCGAGGAGTCGCTGTCGGCGCTGGGCCTGCGAGGCCTCGGCGCCACGCTGTCCGGCTTGAGGCGCGGCGGGGCCAGTTCCGACAGGATCGTGGGTCGCAGGTCTCTGGGGGAAGTGGCCGAGCGCGGCCGCGGGCAGGCCCGGCTCTCAGTCAGAAGATGCGAGAAGCATGGGCGCTTGGCGCTGCAGGTGGCGAAGGTGCCGCCCGCGGTGCAGCAGTGGCTGCGCCTGGGCATGCAGCGACTGCCCAGCCTGTTCGAGCTCAGCTCCACGCAACGCTCAACCGAGTTCGCCTAGGCAGAGAACGAATCGCATTCGAGGTCTTCTCGGGCTCGGGCAGGCTCGCCGCCGCGCTGCGCGCCCGAGGCGTCGCCGCGCTGGAATGGGGCATCATTCGAGGAGCGAAGTTCGATCTCACCAAGGCGGGCAGCCTAGAGACCCAGTGGAGAAGTGAGCACCCTTTGGCTAGGCACACCCTGCACGTCGTTCTCGATGGTTCGTAGGTTCGCCAAGTCGGGGCCGGGACCTTTGCGGTCCAAGGAGTTCCCTCCGGGCCTGCCGAATTTGTCCGTGGCCGTTCGTTCTAGAGTGCAGTGAGGTAACAAGTTGATGCAAGCCTCCGTGGCGCTCGCCAGGCTTGCTCATGCTCGGGGCGTCCCAGGAGGGCTCGAGAATCCTGCCTTTTTTAGACTTTGGCTTTGTCCGCCTGTGTTGGGTCTCGCGAGACTCACCAGCGTTCAGGGTGTCTTCGCAGATTTTTGTATGTGGGGCGAGCCGTGGCGAAAGCGTACGCGGCTTCGCCTCTGGCACGTCCCTTCGGATTCCCTCGGCAGTGTTTTTCGTTTGCTCTGCATCTGGGGCGAGGCCGCCGTCGCCCGGGCGCTGCTTGCACCTGGGATTGTAGTCTCGTCGTCCTTGTGTGGGCGTGCTTATATTCGTGTGCGTGCGCGTCGTCTCGCGCGAGTGTCAGGCGCCCCGCTTCAGGGGGGGGGTGCGCGCGCATCCAAGGTGCACCCTCTTAGCAGAGCACGGGGATGGCTTCATCCCGACCGTGGCTCGAGTATGGTGTTGCATTGCAGTGGACAGGCAGCCGTCGCTCTTGGCCCCAGCGCCTAGGTCCTCCTCTAGCCTCGCGCGGTCGTCTCGTGTGCGGGTGCTCCTGCGCGGCACGCGTGTCAGGCACCCCGCTTCAGGGGGAAGGCGCGGAGCTTTCGTGGAGGCTTCTCGTATTTTCGGGAGTACGGGGGCAGCTGCCCTGATTGTGGCTCGGCTTTTGTGGTGTTGCAGTGGGCTGGAGGCTCAGGCTCCTAGCCCCAGCGCCTCCGCAGCTCAGCACCCTGGCTGATTGACCGCCCGTCCTCTTGTGCAGTCGAGGTCAGGCGGTCCGAGCTGCATTTCCATCTGCAGGACCCCTGCAGTTGGCCTTGCATCCCTGCCTAACTCTGGCAGGGAATCATGCTGCAGAAGGTCGCCGCCCCAGTCCCTGCAGGAAAATTCCCTTGGGGTTGTGACGAAGAAAAAAAGTGCCGCGGAAGGGGGATCTGCGAGCGATCTGTATGTAGGCGCCAAATTCTCGAAGGCAAGCCCTTGGAGGCCAATTTTGGACGGCCGTGGCACAGCCTTATCCGAAGCTCCTGTGTATAACTCTTGCTCAAACCTTGGTAGACGCCTCATGCGATGATATATTAACACGGTTGTGGAACACATGTAAAGGCTAGCGGTATAGCAGGTGCACTAATGACATTTGCCGTGTGGATGGCCAAGAGTTTTTTGCTTGTTGAATGCCGCCAGGTTCTATGTAGCCCTTTCAAGCTTGTGCTGGAGAAAAATAGAAGGCCTTGGGGACAGTTTATCGTGATGGCCTGGCAATTTGTGGATCCGCAACCGTTGGATTAATCCAGCCGCGCGAGCCGCCCACTCCCCCATCCCGTCTGCTCTCTTGCCTTCTCTTCCCACGCTAATTCAAGATTTTAGCAGGCCAGTCGTTTTTTGCTTGTTGAATGCCGCCAGGTTCTATGCACCTTTGCTGCCGAGGCTTCGCGGCTCGGCGCCCCCAAGCTTGTGCTGGAGAAAAATAGAAGGCCGAAGATATTCACAAGTGCGGTACTCACAAGTGCATATGGTTGGGTCTTTCGCCAGGCTAATAGAACAAACTTTGAAAACATATGTGTGCGCGGCGCTAAGGCGAGAGCCAGGGGGAGGAAAAGAGGGGAAGGAAAGGGCTGCCAATGTGGTCTCGATAGCACTTCGTCTCTTGTCACTTCAGGCGATAGCAAACATGGATTCAGGGGGCGTAGATTAGTGACGGGTCCCGTTTCCATGGGAAATCGCGGATCTGTCCGCCGCCGAGCGAGGAGGCATCGGCCGCATTTCGGGGAGGGCACCTCCCCCCATCCATGAATTTGGCGACCGCGCTCCAAATCCATGGATTCTCGTTAATCCATGTTTGCGCGCCCCCGAGTCACCACTGGCTCCTGCTCGCCCTTGAGACAGCGCGAAGCGGAACGGCCTGGAGGCACCTGTTCATTTGAGCGTTGATGATTTGAGTCGTAACCTGTTGAGCGGGCGAAACGGACCAGAGAACCTCACCCAGGTCATCCGTTACCGAAAATTTTTGGTAATGGTCTGGACGCACCGGTCGCGATCGAAATGCGGCCCCCACTCGCGAATTCTGGCCATGAGCGAGCAGCCGACGTCTTCGAAGCCTTCTGGTCGCGACCGAAATTCGGCGCGACCGAAGTCCGCTACCAAACAAAATCCGTTCGCGGACGATTTGCGCAGAATGTTCAGACTGTTTTTGTGGACTGATGCCTCGGCCATAATTAGCTTCCATCGCAACAACACGCCCCAGTCAGTACAGCTGTATCTGGGAAAGGGTAGTGGATCGAGCAGGAGATGGCGGAGAGGGAGGGGTGAAGCAGAGCAAGGCCATTGACCTGTCGTCCGTGACACGATCGGTAGTAGTACTGGTGGTCGCTAGCCGCTAGTTTTCAGGCTCCAAATTAGGATGTTGATAGACCTCCTGCCCTGACGCGTCGATTACGGAATTGGCCGTTTTCGGTTCGCGGGAGGGCGTCGCGGCCGTCATTTCTGCGGGTCCAGGTCCTTCGGTTTTGGTCCTGGGCCGTTTTCGCTAAAGGGAGCTTTACCACAGGGAGGTCTGTCCACCGCCGACAAAGCTCGCTGGGGGCCTTCGGTTCTGCCGGGGCCGATGGGTGCGGACTCGGCCTCCCCGCGAAAGGCATCGTTGCGGCGCAGTTGTTTCACGTCTGAGGTTGACACTGAGGGACCTGGCATCGCTCGGACGCGTGCATTTTCCTTCGGCGAGGACCATCGAGGAGCATCCTCGATCATTTGGCGAAAAAACCACGCACGAAACCGAACAAAAACACAGGAAATGGACGTCCGAGCGATGGCTAGGATGTCTTGCTGGAGCTGCCCCCGTGCCAGGGGGAGTCGGAGGACAAGGAGGCCAGTGGCAGAACGAGTGGGAAGCCGCCACAGGCTTCAGTGTCTTCGAGCTTGTTTTGTAGTTTCGTCGAGGTGCCTTCCATGGGCCCCAACATGCCTCCAATAGGCCCCACGAGCTCCCCTGGATTTCGCTAAGATGCCCGGAGAAGCCTCGAGAAGACCTAAGGCGCGCCCTTGGGGCCTTGGAGCTTGATATTTTCAACACTTCCACGGAAAGAGGGCGGCCCGCTTTCAAAAGATCCCTCTCGCCTTAGCGCCGCGCATATCCGTTCCAGTTCCCGAATAGCGTCCCTCTAGAGGGTTCCAACAGGGGTTAACATTCTTTTCACCAGAATCTCCTCAGGGGGGGGCCAGGGGGAGGCGGTTCACCAGCCTGGCGGCGCGGCCCGGAACGGTCCGGCAGCGCTCACTGTGGTGTTCTGGTTTGATTAGTGCCAGACATGCGACTCACTATGGTGTTCTGGTCACTATGTTCTGGCGGAGCGGCCAGGAATCTGCCAGCAGCGCTCACTGCGGTGTTTTGGCTTGACGTGGTCTAGACATGCGACTCACCATGGTGTTCTGGCTCGATTTCAGCGCTCCCAGGTTCAGAACTCCAGTAGTGCTACGAACGTATACGAAGCGTATACAAAACGTGTATCAAACGTATACGAAATGCATAGGGCTTATCCAAAACTTAGCAGAAACACGTACGAACCTTATGCCCACGGGACGTATACTCAACGTCTATGATTCTCGCATGCGTTGCCTCTGAAACGTGTCTGGAACCGCTACGGAACGTACCTTGGACTTTCATGTTCCTGGTACGTACATGGGACGAAACCGATACATACAACTTTCCATGTGTTGTACGTATGTGCCTGTGTATTGCCCTTCTCCTGTGGCTCGAGTCCTATGTGTTTACGTATGCGCCCATAGATTTCCCCTCTCCTGTGGCTCGAAACCTGTGTTTGTGTTCACGTTTGTGCCTATACATTGCCCCTCTCTTGTGGCTTGAACCTTGCGTGTTTTACGTACGTGCCTTGAGTGCATTCTGCTCGAATCATTTCAGTGTTTTACGTATTTACTGATATATTGCCCTGCGCGTGTGGGACATTTGGGAAACTACACGCCTTAGCTGCTATTGGGCTGCTTTCCTGGGGTATTCTTTGCCAGCTGTTAGGGCACTTACTGGAAGAATGCCCGTGTTCAACGTGTGTCTCTCGATTTAGTGCCGCGCGCGTTCGTCTTGCAAGTTCCCAGCAGTTATACGTGTCGATGGGGCTTGGCTTTGACATGCGGATTTTGCCTTAGCGCTACGCATGTTCGTCTCGCGCGCTTCCTTCCAAGAGTAACCAGGTTGGGTGGCGGTTCCTTATCAAGATGCGGCTCTCGCAAGGATCCTTTGTCAATTTGTGAAACAGTCCGTAACACTTACACGGCGGAGGGCGGGCCTTTTGTCAACGTGGACTTTCGGTTGACATTGGTGCAAGTGTACAGTTATGCAGCAATTTCTTAGATGGACGGTTCATCCGTATCAAAAGGGGCTCTCGATATAGATGCATATGAAATATGCGATCCTGCCTCCTGACATTCAATGCATGGCCGTTCCTAAAAAATTGGGCCCTCGTCTGGACAGTAAGCCCATGGGGCGCTTATCAATGGGGCACTTGCTCGAGTGGAAAGGGATGTTGTAGAGACTCGTGAGGAGGGGGCTTGGGACCGGATGGTGTGTTGCAGCATCGCTGAGGCGTCCCAGGCTTGTTCTTGTCCATCTCCTTCTCCATTTCCGTTCGGGGGAAAGGTTGAGGATGCCGTACGCGCCG